CAGTGCTGTTCATACAACATGTAAAATCACATTTTCCTTCCCTTCGCTTCGTCTCAGCCTTGCTTGAAAGTTAACCAGTGTTTCTGTGTTTTACCAAGTGCTCGTTCTCTACAGAGATGGTTATCAGTGTGTTCAAGGAGAATCTCTCTCTCGGTTAGGTCATTTTCTCCCCACTAATAATTAGGAGGCATGTTATGCTGTCATTCCACTGAAAGCCGGACACCACAGAGATGAAAGCTGCAGCACACTGGGGAGCTTTTCGATACGCATTTCGGATGTGGAAGTCTTCCTTGAAAACCAGACTGACGTAAAGCTCAAATCTAAACAGCCATGGTGCTGTCCTAGACCTCTTTAATTTTTGTATCGTACTGTATGTACTGCATTTACTTTTGCAATCCTAGGTTTTTTTTTGTTAGCAAAGAAGATGGGAGAACTTTTGGAAACCAATGGGGAGAAATGAGTCGCCTCCTGTATATTCAGTGTTTTGCTGGGGTATCTTTACAGCTGGATTACTTTAGGAGTGTTCTGAGGTGTTTCAACTCACTCCAATAGCATTTATACCACTATTTCCATGCCACTATACTCATATTTCGTTAGCCCTGTGAAGTGGAGTTTGGAATTTATTCACATTAACTACTTTTTGTCAGCGTTTTCACTGAAAAGGAAGTAGAGACCTGAAGTCTTTACTCTCACTGAAATTGTCTGTGGTGTGGATGAAGCCTTTAATTTTATTATTGTTGCCTGCAGTTCTTTTTGAACACATCCTGAGACAATGCAATGCTTTGTAGTTGATACAAAAAGCACCTTTTTTAGATGCTTGATTAGTGTTTCAATTATGCAGAAATGGTAATGGTATTAAAATGAACGGGGTGATTTTATACCAATATTATGAAAGCCTTTTTTGTTGTTTGTTTTTTGAGGATGAGTAACAGCTTCTTTTCAACTGCTTCATTTCCTGTTACGTTATATGAATTTATTTTTTAGCAAAAAAGCGTTAGATTTTACCATAGCTACATTAAACCCAGTTGCTGTCTTTGTTTTTGATAGGACAATCAGCTCCACTGTGTAGTTGTCAGATGAGACTATCCTCTGCATAGATACTCTAATGCACTGATATATTCACCACTTCAACATTTGTAATGTTTAAACTGGCCAAAACACTCACTCCTGCATACTTAGGGTGGACAATGCTCTATTAGAGCTCAGCCAAGTCTCTTCCTTTTTTATTTGTTTCTCTCATTTTCCACTTCACACTTGATGCTACTATTTATTGTTATATTTTTCTATTTGTTGAGTCAGTTTTGCAATATAAAGGTGGTACAGTAAATATTTCACTGTAGCATAGACCACAGTACAGGCTTGCCAGTTACAATACCCAAATATACTTGTTTTTCACTCTATGTATATAAAATATAGAAAAGGACAAAACACTTGGAATACTGCACACTGCTTTTTAAAAGAGTGCTTGTTATAATTATCTTTTAAAATTTTTTAGTATATAATATATTATTATTAATGTTATTGCTATCATAATGCCGTTTGTTGTAAATGGTTGATTCTTATCATCCCTTTTGGTGATGGTGTGGCTGTATTACGTACCTCTTGTTGAGAGAATGTTTATTACACATGAGCTTCTGTGTAAAAGTGATCCATCGACATGTTGCTTAGCTGAGAATTAGCTCAGTGAGGAGAGGGGGAAAGCCAAATTGTTTTTTAAAAAGAAACTGTTCCTTGGCCCATGGGCTGTGCCTTAAATTCAATGCATGTCATTTATTTTAGCCTTTTATTTTCTAGTTCTCTTTTGCTGCATTAGTGAATTTTTTGGCTTTGATCGGCCTGATCTCCTGTTGTGAATCTGAAAAAGTTGCCTTTTTACTGTCGCAGCCAACACAACACAATTTGCATAAAAAAATGCAGCACTGTGTAGAAAATGTGTTGTCATTGCAGAGGTTTGTAGAGATTCAGGTCAACCACAAGTCATAGATGTACTACTTGAGTGATGTGTGGCCTATAGCCGGATGTCCAAGAGTCACACTTGCTGTAGTCCTGGTCTGAACAACTTGCACTTTCTTTACGCCCCGCCACTACACTCAAAGATGTGACTCAGCCTGTCAGATATGAATGATATAGAAGTAGCTTCGCCTCATTGCGTCTGTGCGTATTTACTGCAGTATCACCTACGTCTGTCTGGTTGTATCACAGCTCCAAACACTGAATGGGGTGCAACAGGAGTGTGTAGCTGGTGCTCGACCATGCCTACAAAGCACAGAGGCTTCGAGACACATCTGCATGTTCAGCCACTGCTGCATTAATTATGGCTGCAACACTGACAGTGTGTTACTTATCTATGCTCGGCCCACACTTCCACTCGCATTACTTGCAATATCAAAACCACTGACATCTTTCTGCCTGGACAGGAGAAGGGTAGTGTATTTCTGTAGTCAGGGTGGGGTAGGGTGGGGTCGGGGTGTTGTGATCGGGGCAAGTTCATCACTGTCCCAAAACAGGGAGTCTTATTTTGACACATACTGTAGATTCTAAACAGCCCTGGACCAACGGAAACAGTGGGTTCTTTTCTCATTATATGTTCAATTTTTTATGGTATGAAAGGAAACACAAACTGTAATTTAAAAAAAAAAATACAAGGTTTTCAGGACAATTATTTTTTGGGTTATGTCTTTAGAATGCCAACTTGTCTGGAAGTTTCACAGGACAATGAAAATCTTATTTTAATGGATTCCCTTGTTAATTGCAGTCTATTGGATAGCACTGTAGATCATACAACTTTATGTAAAAAATATAAAAAGATTGAAAAAAAAAGGTTTTTATATGCAATGGAATAAATAAAAGCATGGGTTGATTCTGCCTACTCACTGGTTTCTTGTTTTCATTGTTTCAGAGACAATATACAGTAAGTGTGGGATGATGCACCCTATCTTTGCTTTACTGATAAAAATGTGACAGTCTGAGAGGAGATTTAAAAAAAACTGAAGATAGTACTGTATTTGCCTGTGTAACGTTACCCGAGGGTCTAGGGGAATATAACAATATGTGGCACTTGTCCAGGATGTGTGGGTGAATTATTCATTTGGCTGGAAGGAGGCTGCTTAGCTTGTCAGGAGCTTAGCAAAACAGCCTTTGGTTTTTGGTTCTTTGTTTTTTGTTTTTGTTTTTGTTTTTTTTTACACCCATGACTTTTGCCTCTTTTTCACCCAGCTATCAAATGGTTTTTCTACCCAATCTCCTAGACCCCTGGGGGAACATGACAGCCAGAAAATTCATATTAATGCATTAATTGCTTGTGAAAATCAAGAATAAATGAAGGCAATTGCACTTTTTTGAGTTAATTTTAAAGAGTTAATTGTAATTTCTAACTCTACAAAGCTATTAGACATGTATAGATTTTTATTTTAGTATTATTTAAGTAAAATTATAGCAGTATTAACTGCTAAATGTACTCAAAGTAACTAAGGTTGCCCCATCTCAGTGTAGTTACATATTGGGTTATTACTGCTGCAGAACTGTGTAGTATAAGTAGCATTTTCATGTTGTTCTGTTGCTGATGGAACTGAAGTGACTGTTGTTACTACTGTTGGAAATTTAATTGTTTATTGTTTATTAAATTTTTAATTTAATAAACAATGCATCATATTTTCTTAATTAATCATCTTTCATAGGAAAAAGTTAAATGTTCAAAGAGCAAATAGCTCAGATAAACCGTTTTATAATGCTGAATCATTAAATATACAATAAGCAGTAACACAATGTGTTGAGTTGAAATAATTGTTCCTACTTTAGTAGTTCCAGTGCATTATAGTGTATACACTCAATAAATGTATATAAAATTTTAATATGCAAAGTAACTAGCGCCTATAGCTACTATATTAAACATAAATGTAGTGGAGTAAAGCACAATACTTGCCTTTGAAACATAGAAGCACTGTATAAGGCAGCAAAAATTAGAAGCACCTCCAAATTTTACTTGAATACAGTACAGTACTTAATTACACTATACCAGTGGATGTGATTTACCAAAAATATAAGCCAACATAATTGTTTATTCATCACCAACCACAAGGTCTCAGATCTCAGTGCAGACATATTGCTGTAACACTAGGTGGCGTACATTCCCTAGAAATGGAACAAGGTATGTGCATTGCACAGACAGAACAGAGCAATGCCACAGAGACAGCGAGTCTGGGTTACAGGACAGCTGCTGCCAAGTCTCTCCTACATGCAGTCAACAAAGATGAGCTGTTAGAACTGATTTTTCCTCTAAACCACAAAAAGATACGTCATACTGTGGCCGCACTCTAAGAAACAAATATTTTCTGTCATATATAAAATGATTTTGTTCTAAAATGAGATTTGACCAGAGTAACTGAGCATCTGAAGAGCCATAATAATTGTTCCACTTTGAAATAAAAATTGGCTTGAGCGCAATACAATAATTTATTTCATGGTTATTAGCATAAAATTATTATATCACACACATACACAGATGCACACGCACAAAGCACGCGTACACACATATGTGCAGAATCTTTGAACTGGTTAATGTGTGTCTATTTTTTCTGGAAATTACAGCAGTATGGCATATGGCATGGAGTGTGTCATCTCCCTGACTACCTTTCACAACAACACTGCATTTTGACACGATGATACGAGCTTTATCGACATCCAACACTTAGCAGGAACAGCATATAGTATGTTAGTACATTTGTACAAAAGGTATACACAAACATTACACTATTATGTAATTTGTCTCCTCATGGCAGGTACGCACACATCCACACTTACACACGCACACACACTAAGTCAGACATTCAGAGCCATTTGACTAAACAGTCACTCACATACTGCAGATAGTCATTGTACTCGAGGACAGGAGAAACTATGTACAGGGTTTAATTCATAAAATATTGCACTTATTGGCCCATTGCATTTCACAGCGAGTGCTATGATAATGCACCTAAATCTGTAGCTTAGAGTAATATATACATTATCTTATTATATAAATCTACATAGACAAGTCAGGACTGACTTCATGCAGTTTCTTGGAGGTTCTATTCAACTATGCAACAAACACCTGACAATGCTAAACAAATTGTAATGTTTTGGCACAAACGGTTTTTTTGTTAATTGCTGGACTTTTCTATGAACTGCTTTTTGGATTTTAAAGTAAGCTACAACTTTTATACTATTATGGACTTAAGTATCATTAAGACCACTACTGTATATGATTCCCAGTTTAAACTATTGAAAGTTTGTGATGCTTTCTAAGCAGCTTGCTTAGACCTATCTTTTAGGAGGGACTTCTTTTATAGCAGAAACATGAAATTTTAGCATGCTGACACAAAAAATTGAACTATACTTCTTATATATGGCTGTTTATTCCATGCCAGAGCTGATTTGTGTACCGTACACTGTACTGTGTACAGTCAGTGTGAGATTTTTACTTCATGAAATGTGGCTATTACTTAGAGCTGAGGATGGTTAGGTTCAGGTAAGGCCTATCTTTAGATAAAACAGCACATATGATTGACCTTTTGGCAGCATGCTTATAGCATTAAACTATAAAGGGTCATCTTAGAGGGTAAGCACATAGAAATAGTTGATTTTAAGATTTATCACACATCTACAGACAGCAAACTGCAGAATAGTACTCACATCAACATTTTACATTGTGGATTTATCCAAAAGTAAGCATGACAGAGAGACTTAACAGAGGCCGTGTTGAAGACGCTAAAAGGCCACTTTTTTATCCAAGGTAGATGATTTTTAGATGACAAAGTTGTACCCATTTGTGATTCAGCCGCAACCCCTGCATTCAACACCTGTAAAACCCACACTCGCTCACTGTTCAGCCACACACTCATTACACAAAACAAAGCTGCTACATCCTATAGTGCACAAAATTATAGATTTGGCAGCTTTAGGAGATGATAACAACAAAAATAAATCAAACCTACTGTTTTAAAAGTAAAAGAATTATTAAAATACTCATGGACACATTGTATAATTATTCTAGGTAATAAAGATTTTAAAGGTCTTCAGGACTAACTGTACAGTATGACTCTTTCCAGCCTTATCAGACATACTAGGTTGATAACCATACTAACTAGCCAAAGAATGAGAATATTGTTTCTCTGTGTTTTAATTATCATGTAATGTTACACGGTTTACAGTAGCCATGTCTGTTTGTCTGGTTATTTGCTCTTAATATAAGGTGATAAAGTAGAGAGATAATATGAGAGCATTTTGTAATTCTACTACTAAACAGGGTTTGAACTGTAGTCCAGAGAAAGCAGCACTAGCAGGAGTGATAATGCTGAGGGAGAACACAACTCTGCACGCTCTACTGCCTTAGAGGACCTACACTGCCCTCCCTTTGCTTCCTGACCTCAGTCACTAACAATTGCATCCAGGCTGCTGGAGGGGCGGAGCACTGTCTGTGAGTTTGGCTGTGGGGGCTCCCGTGGTGACCGCCGGATCTGTGTCCAAACTCTCAGACATCTTGTCACAAATTAGGTCGACGAGCCTTTCAAAGGTCTGCTTCACATTGATGTTGTCCTTGGCACTTGTTTCAAAAAACTCAAAGCCTTGGCAAAAGGAAGATAAAGTGACATGAGGACATAAAGAGACAGAGAAGGGGCAACTGATGATCATGTGATGAATATGAATTGATGTCATTTTTTAGAAAACATTTAGACAGTTATTGTGAAGTTGGCAAACAAAGCTGTTAAATGTAACTGGTGCCGCCCAAATTCAAATATGCAAATGGTGAATGCAGACTTACCCAGCTGTTCTGCCAGTAGTCTGCCACTATCCACCGAGACCACTCTCTCTTCTTCCATATCACATTTATTCCCAGCCAGCACCACCTGTGCATTATCCCATGAATAGGTTTTTATCTGGGTCGACCTGGATGTAGTCAGAAAAACACACACACACACACACACACACACACAAGCATCAAAGTCAAATTAACATTGAAGTTCTGTTTTTTAACAGTGTCTGAATTGTTTCCTTGCAACTTTTTAAAGGATAGGATCCTTCAGAAATTGGCATGAAAGATGGTGGAGAGAAGGACATCATGTAAAGTTTGCCTGCCATTTGGACCGATCATAAACAGTGATTACATCACCTTTAGCTTGGCATCATGCAGCAACTGAGTCACTAACAACAGCCGCAGAGAAGTGGGTCAACTTCTTCTCTGTACAACAATATTTCTCCGATGTAAGATATAATTTGCTATTTACAGTTTTCTGATTCTTATCATACATAACAGAACTGTCCTATAAACTATTTTTCATTTTTCATTCTTTCCTGCTAACTTCTGATTGGTAAGTTATTAACTTACAACATACCAACAGTGTGCTAGATATTATAGTTACACAGGATATTAGCTTTAGTCACTAAGCAAGAAAGATGGGAAGGGAAACACTGATTTGTCAGTTAATATGAAATAATAGCTAAATGAGATGCACCCCACAAGGGTTTAATATTTATTTAGTACTTAAAACAGTGAGTAATCCTTTGTTACATCTCTTTATAAAATATGACAAGGCCTGTGCCACACATATTGCATTCATATTTGTGTTTGAATCATTGAGGTGCTTGCACTGTTTTAACCTCTGCAGGCAGCACACAATATGGGAAGGAAGTTAAGGACCAAGTTTCTCCCATGCTCTTGCAGTTTAATTTGAAAGTAGGGCAGTAAACATACCACAGGCTGAAAACTGAAGAGAAAGAGCCAGCAAGAAAGAAAGGAAGAAATAACAACTCAGAAGGAGGGAGAGAGAGAACAGCATAATGTTGGCACTCCTCTTTGGGTCCACTTCTGACTTGTTATAGTGGTCCAGATATGGGTCATTTTGAATCAACTGCTGACTGTTCGCTGACAAAAAGCTGCTTGTGTTTTTTCCACATCTATAAAGCTACATATGCAGGAAATTGTCATTCTCTCTTTTTTTTTATCAGTGCTAAGATGAAGGATTAAAAATGATAAATTAGAGTAAGGAAATCCTTTAGTAATGTTGTTGGTAAATCTGAACTGTGTGTATAGCACAGTTAATCTGATTGATATTCCATGATTTTATGTCAACATTACAATATTTTTCCGTTTTGTCTTTGTCACAGACAGGAACGAGCACATCACGAGCTTAATTGAGCCACAGTCAGGAAAGCAGGTGTTGCCATGACAACCTCTTTTTTTTTTTTCTTTTGCAACCTTGTCACAAGGAACAAGGGAAAGAAAGAGTGAAATTAAAGCCTGTGGCAAAGGCAAAAAAGAAGCATTCTGGTTTTATGAAGGGTAAAAAAAGAGCTTCTTCCTTTGTACATAGCTGACGGATTTGTACAATGTGGCAAGTAAGCTCACAGGTAACTCTCCAGGACTGTCGCTGCCCATGATACACTTGGCTTTAGTAATTAAGATACCCATCAGAGACAGTTCCCAGCTGCCAGAACAGCTTTAATATGCCTTGGCATTGATTCTACAAGTCTCTGAACTCTACTGGAGGGATAGACACCATTATTCCAAAAGATATTCCCTCATTTGAGGTTTTGATAATGGTGGGGGAGACGCTGTCTAACACATCACTGTAAAATCTCCCATAGGTGTTCAACTGGACTGAGCTCCGGTGACTGTGAAGGCCATAGTTTATGAGTCACATCATTTTCATACATTCAGTGACCCCTCGTACCCTGTGGATAGGGGTACTGTCATCCTGGAAGAGATCGTTCGTTTACTGAGGTTTTTCCTTTAATTTATCAGCTCTCTGTACGTGCTATGTTAAATGAAGCTACTTTAGTCATGGCGTGCGTAGTAAATCAGATGTCAAGTGCTGCTAGCTAAGTGATGAGGGCTATGTAGACACTGGTCTTAACAGAGTTCATCAAAATCCTTTAATGAATGCAAGCGTCATCACAGGTGAAATATCAAAAATACCACCATCTCTATCAAATCGGTGTGAGTCATCAGTTCCTTGCAGCTTGCAGAGATTATTATCGTGATGACTCAGAAATCTTTCATCTCATTCTGTGTCCCTATAATCTCTTTGGGCTGACATAGAAAGAGAACTGTAGGACAGCAGGGTGTAAATAAAATGGGAAATAAGGGTTTCTCACCACAACATCTGTGGAGAGACAGGGTGTAAGGAGAAAGGGAAGCAAAATGTACATCAAAACTTGCAGTTATCTCTAATGGCAGGGCAGAAATTTCTCTATGTCACCAAAGCTGTTGTGATGCCCTGGTTGTTCTGATGAGAATGTGATGTTTCTTGGGCAAGAGTTCTAACCCAGAAACCTGGTTTTTGCAGGTGATTGAACATAGTCTTCCAAGTCCCTTGTGTTTTTTTTTTTTTGGCAATCATGCATCATCATAAATCACAGGGCTTGGCTCAGAGTTACTGTTCAGTCTGCAGACAATTGTGTGACTTATGAATGGAGCCAGGACCTTGACAGGTTTCGCCTTCATCCCCATTCACGACAAAGATGGATGTGATATGAAAACAAACAGGAAGTTCATTTCACGTATTGATCAGATGCTCATAACAATATAATCCATACACTGAATACAAAGGATCTAGAGATGAGACCTTTATAGGAAACTGTCAAAAGATGAACGAACATGACTCACCAGTCCTGCACAGCACCGAAAGACTCCTCGTTGGTTATGTCATACATGAGGATAAAGCCCATGGCACCACGGTAGTAGGCAGTGGTAATGGTCCTGTAGCGCTCCTGGCCTGCTGTGTCCTACACACACAGTATGAATTAGTACTGCTGTTAGCTGGCTGACTGATATTCACAGTGTCAAGCTCAGCAACAGTGACATGACCTTGTACACCACACCCTGAACATGCATGTCCATAATGTTAAATGAGCAGACATGTATCTGCAGCTATTTACACACATCAAGAGATCCCTTTATTTAGGGTTTTGCAAAGCAAAACTGAAGATGTTAGAAACCAAATTTACTTGTGGCTTCAATTGTTTTGTTCATGATATCGATATAATAATTATACTAATTGCTACAGTGGCTTTACATTGATGAGGTGCTGGCTGATTTGATTGATTCTTTCCTCACAGTGAAACACTCTGTGGTGCAGTAGCCAGGCCAGAGCTCAGCACATGACATGGATTTCTTAGAAGAAAATAGCCTTTTGCAGCTATGACATTGAGAATATATTTGATTCTTTGATCTTTATCTTGGTCTAAAAAGTAATTATATAGATACTGTATGTTGTTTTATGCTATGTTATATAACAAGTCCCGATGACGTCCCTCCTGTTTATACCGTATGTTTACTCTGGTGTTGTTCCACTTGTCTTTGCAAGCTTCTGTGAATCATGATGGACAGGCAGGACATCTGACAGGACGCCTGGATGCTCTACTTGGCTCTGGTTAAACAGAAGCCTGCCAGGCAGCACTGGGTTGTTTTAGCTACAGTGATTTTGCTCTCTGTCAGTCTGTACATGGAACAGCGTGCCTGTTATGGCCAGAGGATAGCTCTGACCTTCACTCCACAGAGACAGAGCTCTCAGCCTGCTGAGCTGTCACACACACCATTGCAAGGACCCTTTGTCAGTTTACAATAACACAAAAGCATGTGAATGTGTGCATATTTAATGACAGCAGCTAGTATATAAATAGCATCTTTTGTGAAGAGACTTTCTGGACAAGATAAAAGTAAATGATGAATCTGTTTCATAATTTAAAAAAAAAGTGGACATACCAAGTCACGACACAGTATGCTCCAGTTATCTGATTGATAATCTAACCTCAGTTGTGTTTTCCAGTCTGAATTCTAAGTCTTGCATGTTTCAGAATGCTACTCATTCTTGGCTGAGTGTTTGACAATGACCTTTGCATTTCCAAGCTATTTTTGTGTGTCTGTTTGCTTGTTCTCAGAGCGCGGTGGGAAAAAATATGCCGAGTCCTGAAAATTGGAGCTCTTTGAATAGCTTTGCCTATACCCTGCAAGCTCACCAGAAATCAATCCAAGAATCAGACTATTTCAAGTGAAAAGGTACTGAACAGAGGCGGACACTCGCCAGAATTCCTCTTCATTCAGTAAATTGAGTTTCAGGTTTTCACAGGGTTCAACTTGGCCACACCCTGTGTTTCATTCCTTATAGCCTCATACAACAACATGCACAAATGTATGATGCTTCTATCTCTGAGCAGATTAATGGTGCCACTGGCACAGTGACATCTGCAAAGAGCCATGACCTTAAATAGCCACTTAATGTATGGGCCCAATTAGAAAAGACTGACCAAATGGCAGGATACAAGGGCAATCCTTTGTCTCTCTGAATATGTTTGTCTTTGCCAGTCATTTGATTGTTCAGACTCATTTTCATGTGCTGCTGGAGCAGTACCTCTTTGTGTGAATAGCAACGACTGACCAATTACTGCAAAAAAAAAACAACTATTATGACAATAGAAAGCAAAACCTCCAAAGGAAAGTTAGAATTTGGTGTTGCACAAGAAGAAACAGTGAAAAAGAGGAACTTTAACACATCTATACCCTAGCTATCTTAGAGGTATTATGAGGCAATCTGCTTCAACAGCGCAGATGAACTCCTAATTATACAGCTTCAAACATTCTTCAGTTTCCCACACATTCTGAGAAAGGTGTTGCTTCTGTGTTCTTCCATGCTGTGTGCCATCCTTACATCGTAGAGTGTTAAACCAAGAAAACACAACACGGCCTTCTGTGAAGTTTTCTTCAATTAACTAAGCACACAGCCGATGTGGCATGTTTTAACATTAAGAAACAAAGTGCAGAGCATATATGTTGTTCTCAATTGAGAGGCTTAAAGTCAAAAACTGATGTTATAAAATTGTTTGTCAGGATAGTGAAGCCAAATCCCTTAATGAGTGATTGTCTAAAATTCATCTTTTCAAAAATTGTGATGAAACCAGTCCTTTACTACTGTTTATGTTGTTTCAAAGGCTATATAGAAGAAGTATGTATGACACAATGCAAAGCCTTTCCATAACAAGAGATTAAAAGGATGAATGAATTATCCAAAGAGCCAAAAACACTGACTAAAATTGAATGAATCCATGTCATCCTGTATGTGCAGGATTGTTTGTATGGCCAAGCATACAGCCATTAAAGATAGATCGGCACAGAAAGATATAGGCAGAGGTCATGAGAAAGTGAGCTCTGGATTGACTGACAGCCTTGTACAGACAGAAGTCATTGTGCAGGAACACAAATACAAAGAGAACAAGAGAAATGAGGAGGCAGAGCATCTCTGCAGAGCCCCTTCCTCCTCAGAGCGTATTTCAGTAGTCCTCTAGGAGACCTTGGAGGACTATAGAGGACAGGTTTCTTGCAGACATTAACTGCATTTCTAAATGCAAATGTTGTGAATTTCACTGAAATTTGTGCACAACTAGCATGGCAACAAAGACACGGACAAAAAAGGGAAATGCAACTTGTTTTATGTTGATGCTATGTTTCTCCTTTCTAAAAATCAGATCATGTACATCTCCTACAATATATAGGATTTTACTTTCTAAACAGTTATGAATTATAGAGGGTGGGGGGGCTGTCTATTTAAGAGATGACTGCAAGTAAGTGCACTATTATCTTGTGTTGAGCAGTGCAGTATAAACAGATATAATATTTGTTTATCCATTTGTTTCATCTGTTTGATCAGGACTCTGACATTTTGTGGCTCACTTCTACATGTTTAATGCTTAGATGTTAATGCTACATACCCAGATCTGCAGTTTGATCCTTTTATCATTTTTGTACACAGTCTTCACTTTGAAGTCGATGCCCACGGTGCTGACGAAGGCTGAAGTGAAGGCATCATCTGCATAGCGAAACAGGAAAGAAGTTTTGCCCACGCTGCTGTTGCCAATGATCAGAAGTTTAAACATGTAGTCAAAGTTTTGGTCCCCTCCCTCTCCCTTCCCTTTCATATCCTGAGTGGCAGCCATCTGCAAAAGATAGAGTTTCACCTTCAGTTAATGTGTCGCTTTTCAGAGACATAAATTGCAAACACATCAAGTCAAGTATTAATTGTATAGCAAGACAAGGCAGCTGTATTTATACAGCACATTTCATAGCACTATAATAGATATACTGTAGCCACAAATCACAAATGTGACGGAGGGAAACACAGTTGATAAGAACTGGATTCATAGTTTTTTTGCTTGACTCTCAACTATTTTAGTAAACATCCTGAAGTTTATGTTCACAGACCAGCAATTAAAAAATAGGTTAAGACAGCACAAGCTTGTTTTCCAGGCCACCGATCAGAGGTGACAGAAGGCTGTGTCAGGCAGACCAGCCTGACCAACACAGCAAGTTGTTGTATTGATGACTATTAGATAACCAGGAAATTCTGAGCTGTCTGAAGCTGAGTCAGATTTGTCTAAAGCCATATTTCTTTCAGAAGATGATTCCTTTAATGAAGCAAAAGGATTTGGATTCTTGATGCTATTTACCATTATTACTTGAAGAGCAATTTTTAGCTCATACTTTTTATATACTGGGAAAAAAATACCATTGATTTTCAAAGTGAACCTGTATTGTATTGGAAAACAACTCGTTTTAATTGTGATACAACAATTTTGCAGTCCCATATCAGTTTTACTATTAGCAGCTCTGAGTGTGTGATTTGAAATGCTTTTCTGCTATAATACAATCAAATTTATTAAAGACATTTAATTTTCTTCCATTTTAAAACTGCTGTAGGAGCCTGATAATAGAAATGAATTGTTCACCTAAATCATCTCCCGCGCAAGCTGCCAGCCTAACAACCTAAGAGAACCTGGGTACTAGGAAGAGAATAGCAAGCGCACAGTCATCTTTGCTCCAAGGTGAATGTTTTGACAAAGCCACTACCATTATATGCCAAAGGTGCAGCTAAGCTCTCCCTGTAGCCTGTGCAGTTAGAAAAGATGCCGGATCTCCATTCTGCACAGCCTGCCCTGAGGTTCTCTTCGCTTCCGCATATAGAAAAAAAAATGAGGCAGTATTTGCAAGGACACCGCTTTTAAAATATCAGTGTATTGATGGCACACACACACCCACCAAGAATAAAACTAGACGATCTGATATAAAATTACACGATTGAGTTGAGCAGGGAGCTGCATGCCAGTTGATGCTAGACAAGCACATCTTGGCAAGAGGTCATTTTATAAAATGAAATTCTTCCACAAAACTAGAAATAGATGAAACTATCAAATCGCGCTGTGTTAACAAACCTGTTTTGAAGGCCTCGGTTTTATCTGTATCTGCCCCTGTTTTGCAGAATACGGTTTTTGTATTTGAATCGAACGCAGGCGTTGATTTCCTTCCCCCCTCTCTGTCTCTCTGTCTCTTTGGAGCGCCAACCAGTTTCAGCACCTGGGAGCTGTCCCCTCCGCTTCGGATCTGGAACGCGCCCCTGAACTGACGACGCTGGTTAGCATGAGATGAGCACGAGCAAAGAAAAAGTGTGCTTCGTGCGTGTCTCTGGCGTCACGGAGCTGGCGGTGTGTGTTGAGAAGACGGGAATTGTAGTTTTTGCACGATACCGGCTCAGGGGGAAAGATCAGCATCGGAAGTAAAGATTCGACTACAGTACTCAGCATGCAGCGCGTCACAGCTGTCAACAGCTGTATGATTTACTGTGGAAGCGCAGAGAAACCCTTCCGTTTCGTTTATAATAAGCAGTATATCGCGTAAAAACGCAAGAGCAAGAGTTAAAGAACAATAAAGCTGAAAACCTTTGTTCAACCTCTCGCTGTTCAGCCACTTGATTGGCTGAATGATTTTTGATGCTCTTTAGGCTAAAGCCGTGCACCTTACCTTCCCATATAAGTCCATTTTGTCTTCAGAAATAGGCTATTTCACCTGTTTCTTTTTTTATTTCACTCCAGTAGCTGATGCAGTCCCAGCTTGACAGCATTAATTATTTTTTTTTCAGAAAGCAAATATAATGAGAGGTCTGAGTGGTGATGAATATTATTATTGCAGGGCTTTTCAGTGGGAGCAAGTGCAGAATGAGGCCACGGCGGAAGTGGGTAAAAATCGACATCTTTGCAATTATAATGACGTCGGCCTCTTTTAGGCGGATTAATAGATCTGATTAATTAATTTGAGAGGTGCACATGGGAAACTGTTGCACTGTCTTAAGGAAATGATGACCAGTAGACTCATATCAATGATTATTTTGAGTATTTATCTTTAAATAGCCATTTGGATGATCTTTTATTTATCTCTCACCTGAAGCCAACATTGTTCATAATACTTTGCCATGCGCTAAGAATCAGCACAGTACGAGACACAACAGACATTAGGCTACATAACCGTGGACTACAACTTAGGTAGTAAATCCTGGCTGTCGGGCGTCTGGTACCAGCCAGTTAGCAGAAATGTGATTGGTCGTGCGCGGTCATAAGACGGGATGTGCTGGCTGCAGGCTGGTGAGTGCGCAGCAGACGAGGGGGCGGATCGGGTCTCTGCAAATGTAAAGGTTTTGATTTGTACCATAGCGATAGCTGCACGAAATGAGTGTATGTTGATCATAAGTAGATAATCTGTTCATTCATTTTATTACTTTAAAATGTTTTTCACCGATTTTATCCAGAATCATAAGTCCAAAAAATGTCAGCATGTGTGGCTTTTGGAATAAGCTGTAGGGTGCTGCGGGAGCTCCTCTTTGTCGAGAATATGTATTAGGGCCTAAGTGAGCAGATCTCTTTTGGTCAGTTAATAAGCTGCCCTTTTAAGTACGCAACTTAAGTGTGGTAAACAAAACTTTTATAGAAGGTTTCCGCATGACAAAAGGCAACTGTAGCACCATCTGCTGTTGGAAAAGGAGGGGACATTTGGTGGTGACAGCTCTCAAAGGTTACATCGTGGTAATGATTGACAAAGTAATACTGGCAGAACTCAAATGTTGCTTTGTAAGTGAGGAAGTGAGCTGTAGCTGTTTACAAAGGGAGACTTTTTGTTTATGGTTATCCTGAGCAACCTTACTCTATTTTAATGTCACAGATTTACAAATAAAATCCAATGTATATAACCTAATTTATTTTTCAGAATTGTGTAGGTGTTAAAGAAGCTCTTCAAACCTTGATGATAACTGGTTCCTTTACAAAACATTGCCATCTATCTTGTGTGTACATAGTGCAGACTGATAAATTGGCCAATATTGGTTTCGATTGTATATGTTGGCCAGGATAGTTTAATTTGTTTATCCTTAACCAGGCATTACCAGGAAGTGTTTATAAGTTCACCAGTGTCGTTTCATAAAAGCTGCAGCTGCAGTTGCTACATGTATGCAAACTTTGAAAATGTTTATAATATGTATTTGTCCCCTACTCAGTTTTTAAAAGAGTCAAATATAAATGTTGCTCTTAATCTCAACAATCCAGTGTTAGTGAGGATAAACAATATTATTCAGAATAGTGCAAATGTTTTCATTGTAACTTACTGTTTTTAACCATGCTCGTGACAGTTTGGAATGGAGGACTCTATTGAGGTGGTTCTGCAAGACTGTGGTGGGATCCTTCCTCCCAGCAGACCCCATCCCATCCTGTCAACCTGCACATGTGCTCTGCTCACAGGCCTGTATAGATTATGGAGTCTGTTTGTTATTCCTGGCTTTCGCAAAGTCCCACGGAACCTCAAGGTGCCTGAGATTTGATTCGTTTTGTTTTTACCTGCCTGCTTTGCCTTTTCCCACTCTTTCAAACAACAAACCCTGCATGTTATATGAAATCTAAGAAAAGAGGCCAAGAAAGAACATAACTTGCACATTAATGATCATCTGTTTATTTTGCAGTACGGTGCTTTTTGCTTGCAGCATATGTGGGAAAAGAATAAAATATCTAATGGTATTATAAATATTATTATTTTTGAGAACTGCAACTTCTACATTAGTCTGAAATGCATTTGTGCAGAGGTCCACTGTTGTAACGTAATGGATCATGCACCATTTTTTTCACTGTCAGTACGAGGTGAACAAGAAAACATCACGATCAGGAGCGGATTATCAGAAGTTAAGTAATAATTATAATATTTGTTGTACAGAGAATCCGATTTTGTTCGGACAAAAAGCGGTTTTACAGCTAGTACCAATGTTCTTATGAACTATGATCTAAATGCAGTTGCTTTTGTGCCTGTGATATATGTATGTATGTATGTATGTATGTATGTATGTATGTATGTATGTATGTCTGCTGTGCTTTTTGAATTAATGACATTTGTTCATTCTGCCAGCTACAGTCTAGCTCACATAAAACACGTTTTATGTTATCATAGATTACATCCAGTTTACCACAACTAGAAAAGAGAGCGAGCCCTGCTGAATCTGTCGTTCAGGCAGATGTGTAGCAGTTTTACTGACAGTGAGTGTGAGATTAGATTCAAGGTTATATATAGTCACAGCACTTGGGAGAATTGACTGCTGTCAGCAGAAGTAAATGTAACATGAAGCATATTCTAAGGTGTTTTCACATGAAAAAGATGCTTTTTAACTGTATTGCTGTAGCGTTTGGTTGGAGCGTCATGTAGATTTTATAGGCCTCTGTGTAAAGATAAAAATGAAGCGACCTCACATTCTCATGTTCAAGCTCTAATTTTCCAGCTTGACAGGAAAAACATCATGTAATAACAACAACAGTTACTGTATTATGTCAGAATGAGAATCAGCTTTATTGGCCAGGTGTGCTGGACATGAGGAACTTGACTCTGGTACATCGGCTCTCAATGTTCACATATCCCCATGCAAGGCAACAGCAAGGGGCAAGTAAACAATATACCAACATAAGGCTGTGTAGTATAACAAAATAAACAGTATAAACAAGCAATAAACAATGCAAAATAAATGTGTCACATGTATTAACTTGCTGTGTGTTTATATTGTGGTCCAGGTTCCTTATTTGCCCTCCAGTAAAGATCAGACACTTAACACCATGAAGCTGCTTGAGGGACGAACAGGTCGCTTAGCAGATCTGGGATCAGGAGATGGAAGACTGGTAAGTGAGCTGTAGTTGTTTCACATTTCTGTGGCCAAAATCTTAAATGCAAACCTGGGTGTTTCCTGATTTTAATTCAAGGTGGATTTTCATGGATAATTTTGTGTTCTTTTGTTGTTGTAGTAGTTGTATTTGACATCATCAGACTTGCTTTTTCCAGGTGTTTGCAGCATCTTCAGCTGGTTTCCAGTCCACAGGGTTTGAGATTAACCCCATTTTAGTGATGTATGCCAGGAGCAAGGCCTGCTGGAGAGGAGTGCCTTCCAGCCAAGCAACCTTTGTTAAAAAGGACTTCTGGAAGGTAAAAACAAAAATGATTGCTCATCTTAAGCCTGGTCATGTTTGATATTTTATCATGTTTGTCTTTCTTCTTTCATAGACTGATTTATCTGCGTACAACAATGTGACAGCTTTCCTAGCTCCAGGAGTAGTGAGTTTTCCTCCTTTAATGATTAGTAGATGGTTTGATGCTGTAGCAAGCATAGAATTGGATTGCTAAGTGTTTTTGATTCAGCCTTTTCCAATTGCTTTACAGATGGCGGTGCTTGGTGAGAAGCTGCTGAAAGAACTTCCTGACAATGCACGTGTCATTGCTTGTCGATTTCCTTTTCCTAACTGGCCGCACCAACTGTCTGCCGGGTTCGGTCTTTACCAGACTTTTGCTTATGACATGAGCACTGTGCGTTCACATCTGAGAAATGTACGGAACACTGTGGTGTAATGAGTTACACTCTCTGGGCTCTTTCCATATGCCATTCTCTACAGCACTAAACTTTCCAGATGCATTTCCTTGACCAGAAGTGAACAAAAATGTATTTTATAATTTTATTTAAAGGAAAATCACAGGAGAAAATGAGGTAATCATCAATGCATTGGGGAAATTTTACTCCCCATCAGCTCTAAAAACCTCCATAGTAACTTGCATGAAGGATTTCAAGCCCCGGGAATTTTTTGTTTGTTATCCAATATTTTTGTCCCACTTTGCTTTTGCGAGGGTGTGATTACATTCATGCTATGATATACTTGTGTGTGCGTTCAAAAAGTGAATGTCTGTATCCAGCCCAAGGCAACTATGAGATCATTCAGTGGTTCTCTGAGCCAGCCAGTAAGCGTTGGGCACACAGAGGCTTTAGGGCGTGCACAACCACCTCGCACATGGTCTAATTATAATGTAATTATATGTGTCACTGTGGCTCATATAGAATAAGTAACTGGGCAGAGAGATGGGCCTGTCAGTCAGACAACCATGATTATATATTTTTTTCTTTTTTTTCTCTGTTTCTCTCTGTTTTATTACATGCTTGGAATTAATAAATAAATAAATAAATAAGTGTGGCCCTCTATTTTCTGTTTGTTAGCACTTAAGAGATATTAATAATATTTGCTAAAAGGTTTGGACACTTTCCATTTAACAAGAGATTTTGGGTTTTTTTTTAAGGATTTATTAAGAATTAATATTTTAGTAACCTTTCTCATGAACAGTGTATGGCTTTTTAAAATACAATGTTATGAACACTTTGGTAAAATTACAACTTTAAAGTGTTTGAGCAGCCTTGTTTGAGGAATGTATTCCTTTTAGTACTGTGGTGTGCATGTCACTGAAACGTTCTAACTGTAACACCTGCAGTGAATAGGGTGACACTGTAATCTCTGAATAGGTCATAGGCTATCACAGTATACAGTGGGTACGGAAAGTATTCAGACCCCCTTAAATTTTTCACTTTTTGTTATATTGCAGCCATATGCTAAAATCATTTAAGTTCATTTTTTTCCTCATTAATGTACAGACAGCACCCCATATTGACAGAAAAACACAGAATTTTTGACATTTTTGCAGATTTATTAAAAAAGAAAAACTGAAATATCACATGGTCATAAGTATTCAGACCCTTTGCT